ACCTGTAAACTTACCTGATTGAAAATTGTGTTTTGATTGTCGCAGCTTCCAGCCTAAAAATAGCATAACTTCTGTTTCACAGCGATAACTATACTACATTCGTCATAGGGCCAACCGCTAACCACTCCTTGTGTAGGATCAGTTGCGACGAAATAACCTTCTGCAGGGAATTTTGAGATAGTGGCAGAGGTGATGTACGAAGTCTCAGAGCATGGTGCAACCACAGGAACAATCAGGTCAACGGGCAGATATTTGGCGTTGTCGACGCTTGATCTCCACGAAGTGATCTCAGGCAGTCCACTGAAAAATTTCACTAAGGTAGGAAAACAGGCGGGATACAGTTTCCCAAAATGCGCGTGAAATTGAGTGCCTAAAAGCGTTGAGTGCACACAGTACCAATCAGTTTTCGCCTAGGAACCACCTGGCTAAGGGAAAGCGGAATTGGATCGCTCTGGCTCCCTGGCCTGGCCTTTGGGTAGCTAAACCGGCTCACGGTATGCCCAAATGTGTATATTCACGGAGCGACACATCTAATTTCACGTGCAGTTTTGGGGGATACTGTATCCCGCCTGTTTCCAAAATTTATACTCTTGTAAAAACTTTTATTCAGGTTTGTTTGAAATCAGCTGAAACTTACAATCTGGTTTCGTTGGCCTACACCACTGGTCCGCGTCACCTTTTTTGAACCGTGGATTCGCACACCTACATTGTTCGATGGTGTTGCGTTGACGACAGTTGTAAAAGCACGTCTCCAGTACGTATACGTTTGACTGAAATTAGTTCTGCAGTTCATGAACCTTCTTCTCTAGCCATGATCCCTGAAAATGATAGGGCCGTATAAAGGGGCGTGAGTTTATCGCAGCCAAACAGCCCTTCCCGACAACTGTTTACGGACTCAGGACGGCATCATTGATGGAAAAGCCGCTTCGGCAGCGCTCCAGTCCACGCCTCGTCACACGCCCTATCGTTTGCAGGGATCATGACGGTAGTTCTCGATCTCTTTGTTACTGTCAGGCAAGCGGAGCCGTTGATATCAATAAAACTCTCGCGACGCGACACGTGCGCGGTACAGTGACGCGTGCCGATCGTGACGAGTTGTCGCGCAACTCTGTGGCGCCGCATCGCACCCAGCACCAGGTATTTGGACCTCTGTGGATGGTCCCGTCACGAAACTGCAGCGCAG